ATGCACCCTTGTGAATGCAACACCATGTTATGTAAGGTGAAACACATCTGTAGAGTTAGCAATGGCAAGGATGGCAGTGCAGAGAGGATACGACATTATAAATTGGGCGGAAAAAAAGAATGGTTTTCCTGTACTAAATGTATTCCACCTAAGGGACATTGACCCACAACAGAAATGTGCTTACCAGAACTGAACCTACCGAAGGGCTTGAACACACAGGAGGCATGTTTTTTATCACATGCACATCTAAGAGAACAGATACACTTCTATATTCAATAAATGCAGATTTCTACACCGTAATAGTGTATTTTATTCAGTTGTACATGCAAAGCTACACTGATTGTGTATTATTGGACCCTGAGTGCTCGACACAGACACAGGACTGAAACTGCTTCTCTGCTGACATGCTGCATGCATCCTTTGTAAGGCTTCCTGACGGTCCTCAGTGAGCATGTTAAGCTCCTAGCTGTACTGTGCAGCCCCACCAAACAGCTTTGTTTTGTTCTCTTTTCATAAAATTTCATATTGAAGCATACATTTTTATATACACACAGTAATATAATGACAATTCTTTAAAATCTTTGTCTGACTTTTAACCCCAGACAACACCAAATCAGACCAATCCTTCGGATGGTTTCAACTATAAAATTGAGAAATGAAGCTTCCTCTATGTCCTACTGCTAACTGTCTGTCGTCGTTTTGGCTGTGGTTATATTTAAAGAGCCATGTTCTGAGCTTAAACAAGGATTTAACGTACTATCCAGAGGTGTAGTAATGAGACCAGGTCTGTGGAGACCCCAGTGACAGAACTAGAAACACTACAAAGTGGCAGCGTTAATTATAGTTGACGGGATATTCGCTGTAACGAGGTTGGAGGACCCACGCAGGCTTGTTTTTCATCTTTCCCCCATGCTTTTCCAACCCCTCCTTTCCCCATCCCCCAACACACGAACTCCCTGCTGCACTTCCCGCGACCCCCCAGGATCTTCGGGGCTCTACCAATGAGAGCTCTACAGTGGCATTCCTTCCCAGAGACAAGAACCTCGGGCTCTGGTGCAATCCTTTCCTCTGCCTGTCATGCTGCTTAACACCAATCACATGCTCCGCGCCAAATGATTCCACATCACAGAGTTACTGAATTGGCAAAGTGCACAATATGTGGGTTTTCATGGTTACTACCCCTTGGCATAAAAATTGCCTGCCTGGTGAAGCCATGCGCACACAAAAAAAACACATTTACTATGTTTATTTTTCATTTTACAGAGCTGAAATTTAAAGTCCTGCTTTCTCCGACTTGTGATTCCAATTAAAAGTCAAACCAAGGACGTCTGTGTTCAACACTGACTTGTTTCACATTTCCAGAAGTCACGGTTGGGAACATTGTTATGCATTAGCATGAAGCTGGGGTGGACATGCAGAGCAACTTCCTGTAGATTAAATTAAATTAGCTCAGCAGAATGTCAATATCTGTTTCACGATATGTCAGCATGGGGAGCTTAGATTACATTATGTTTACAGCCTCGTTCAATCCAATTCCTCCAAATGATGCGTGTGCAAACCCAGAGTAAATCTGCTGATGATATAACATTCCAGTGGATTTAAGCTGCAAGTTCTTTTCCATGTTCTCTTTCCAATGCAGGATAGTGACATGGATATCTATATAGGAAACACAGCTGTTCTTTTGTGACCTATTACAACCTGAACAAGAATGTAAGGACTCAGACTATAGATAAATAGGTCAACAGATTATGTGGGGTATTATATGGGGTCTTAATACCCATTGGACCTTCCGGTAAAAGGAAAAATCCAGGTCATGAAAAGGAAGAAGTGGCCCAAGTTGTTCATTTCTGAAATTGTACCACACAGCGGGGGGGGGTTATGGAAAGAAGGCGTACTTCAAAATGGGGGCAACCGAACCATTTTCCTCCCACCTGAAATCACAGAAGTCAACTGTTCTGTAATTTAAAACCATGTCAAATTTGTTCTATATATATATATATATATATATATATATATATTTTTTTTTTTTTTTTTTTTTTTTTTTTTATATAGGTGAGGCCATGATCAGCCCCATTTCCATCACAGGAACTTGATAACCTGAACTTTTAAGAAGCTTTAAAGTGGTTCTGCCTAGCATTTCCACTATTTTACAAACCTGGACATTGCATATGTAAATTATCATCATTAAAAAGGCAGCAGCAGTTTGTAGGGTAGTTTGTCATTTCTGACCTTTTTCCCGGCATCAAGATGAAATAAAACAAAGCTATGTAGCATTTGGTCACGCTATGCTACAAAGTCAAAAGAAATGTGGTGACTAGAAATGTTATATTTGAAAATAGCCATGCTACCCACACAATACTTTATTAATGTGTGTGTTGCCTCTGCAGGAACATGTTACACAACGGGTTGTTAGATCCATCTAGTGCAGGGGTCACTAATAGGCGGACCGCGGTCCGGACCCAGATGCCGTTGTATCCGGACCCAGGACCTAAAACCCATAGATAATTGAGAATTATTACATTTTGACGAAGCACTTCTATTTTAACCGGCGCAGCTTTTTCAGCCTTTACGGCACTTGTTCAGCGGTGCAGGAAACACACCGACAAATGCGTTGTAAACCACATCACGTGATGCAGCTCAGCCAATCAAATATGGGTATTCTGACAAGTTTCCTGACTCGAGTGAGATGTACACACACCGTGACACACGGGGAAAGAGATCACAGAGCAGAAAAGCTATTACGTGAGTCGGAGAAGTCATTTCACAAGACAATCTCCTAAAAGAGAAAAGTGTTCAGAGAGACCAGAGACTTTAACCAAGAATGGACAGACTCCTATAAGTGACTTCTTCCCACGGACAGTTTAAAAACAGTGTCTCATTTGAGCAAACGTACCCACTCACATCTGAAATGAAGACACAGAAAATAAACCTAAGAGCCCAATATGATCAGAATCCTAACGCATGAATTCACTTCACAACAATGATGTTACCAGAGAGAATAGAGCTGAAACAAGTGTTAATAACCACAGATAAAGATCATGCTCACTGATTTATCTTATTATAAGATGAGAAATATATAATATCGTGGCTTTTTTGATTGACATCACTTCACACCTGAATGAAGTGAATTTAAGGGGGCGCAGCAGAGACAGATTGGGACAAATCCAGCTCTCCTATTGGTTTGCCACAAGTCTGATTCTCGAAATTGGGACAAATGCGGCCATCCCATTGGCCGGCGCTTTCCCGAGTTGGCGCAAGTAGGGACAAACAGCGCACGGCAATTGGAGGGGCGGGACATGGACATCGCGGATAAAGCCCATTTGCTTAGAAATTGGGACAAGTTGGCACAATTGGGACAGAGAAAGTGGAGAGTTGAAATGCGTGAGATGACACGCAAATTCGTGAAGCAAATATGATAAATATGATTTTTTTCATATTACAGCCGCTGTCGGTACTGCAGCAATAGAACAAAGCTCCTTCACTCTCAAGACCTGTCTGTCCTCATTAAACTTGTCTGTCCTCAATAAACCATCATTTTAAAATAGTCCGTTGAAGCAGTGAAGAAGAGACGAACACTGAGAGAGAAACTCTGTTTTCCACTAAACCTCGTTGTGGAAACGTCTTTTTTAACGTGTCTGTTTCCTGGAATGTGGACATTCCAGGAACCTGCTGAGTTTCGTAGAGAAACGTCAAGTAATGGAACTGAAAAGACTCCTGAACATTCTTGTTATAAACATGTTGTCCTGATGTAGTTCAACGTTTGAGCCGATAAACTGCTAAGAAGACAGCCTGTGAGTTCTCCACAAGAAACAATCTAAACTGTGACACAAAGTGTGATTATTATCAGACATGTTTGTTCTTCGGTTGATTTTGTGTTCGCCGAATTCAAGAGCGGCTCCGTCTAGTTCAGACAAGTTCTCTCATTTGATATTAATGATGACGTTTAGTTCAGTTCAGCAGCAGTATTTGTATAATTCAACAGTTTCTGAATGGAGTTCTGTTGCACACGGTCACTATATGTGACTATATAGAGCTGAGAGACAAAACACCTTTTACATCATTTATCATCATTTCATTCAGTCACGTGAGGCTGATCATTCCTGAGTTTCGGGTTTGATTTGTTTTATCATTTAAGAGAAACCAAAATCATATTCTGGGTTATTTAATGACGTCAGAATCACAATTTCAAAACGTACAGACACAAATAATTCATAAATAAGTCAAATGCATTCCGCCGGTAGAAATCTGTCCTGCGCTTATAAACAGAACACAGTTTGTTAAAGAGGTAACAGGCTACAGAGAGAAACACCTCTACAGTGATGATTACTGTGTGTCTTCATTATTACTTATTAGTATTATTAGTTACTATTATTAAGTACAGTGATGATAACTGTGTGTCTTTATTAGTTATTAGTTCACGTGACGCAACTGAGGAAGGGACGTCTCATATCTCTTCAAAAATGTTTCCTTGTTTCCTCTCTCCTCGCATGGTTTCCTTGCGTCTCTCCATGCATCCCTGGTGGGAGGGACTAAGAAGCAAGTGAGGGAAACGGGGATGCAATTAAGAGACTTGGGACATAAAAAGTGTTTTGTCTCTCCAGCTCTCTCTGACTTTAATTGTATCCATAATAAAAGTTATTGAGGGAAATATTAGATCATGAAAACACAAATCTTTCAAATAAATGAAGAAAGTTGTTTGTGGTCCTTTTGTTGTTCAGTCTACAATGAACATTTATTTAAACCAGACGGTGAATCAGAAAACTAATCAAATATAAACTAGAGTTTAATCTGTGATCTGTCTTCACTCTGGAATGCAACTCCAGTCAGTCAGTCCGATCGGCTGCAGCGTCCAATCACATAACTGATGAACAATAAGGGGGCGTGTCAGCCGTTAAAACACTTCCTGGAAGGCTGTTCTCGTGCGTCCTCCCTCCTCGATCCTCGCTCCCCCGAGCTAAATAAGAGCTTTGGGACGGCCGTCAATATGGCGGAGCAGAACAACTTCCGGTTCAATCGAGGAGCGAAGAAATGACAAATAAGAGACTTGGGATGTAACTCCTGTGTCAAATTACAAATCAGCCAGGTGTTTCCCATCATGCCCTGGGGTCATGCAGTTGGTGGAGAGCAACTGCGGCGCTCGGCTCTAAAATCTGCGGCCGCTTCGCTCTCGTGAGGTTATCGTTGCCCGCGTGTTCATGACGTCAGAGCAAGTTGGGATCAAGCCGGACACAAATCTAACCGGCAGCATTGTGCGCCGATCGCCCGGTGATCGATTCTGCGCAGGCCTGGTTTATTTAAAACGAGCCTATTCTCAACTTGTGTGTCAACTTTGAGGAGCCAATCAGACTCTCCAAGTTTTCATCATCCAATCAGATGGCTCGTTTGTCTCAATTGTGAAATCGAGCCGCCATGTTGGATTCTCTCTACCGAGCGCTCAGTTCAAACTGTGACTCGAAAGCTACGAGATCGTAAGTAAATTACTTATTAATTAGTATTAAATATGAATGTAAAACACTGTATAAACTCTTTAGTGTTTAGTGTGAAACCATCAGTTTAAAATAGTCCGTTGAAGCAGTGAAGAAGAGACGAACACTGAGAGAGAAACTCTGTTTTCCACTAAACCTCGTTGTGGAAACGTCTTTTTTAACGTGTCTGTTTCCTGGAATGTGAACATTCCAGGAACCTGCTGAGTTTCGTAGAGAAACGTCAAGTAATGGAACTGAAAAGACTCCTGAACATTCTTGTTATAAACATGTTGTCCTGATGTAGTTCAACGTTTGAGCCGATAAACTGCTAAGAAGACAGCCTGTGAGTTCTCCACAAGAAACAATCTAAACTGTGACACAAAGTGTGATTATTATCAGACATGTTTGTTCTTCGGTTGATTTTGTGTTCGCCGAATTCAAGAGCGGCTCCGTCTAGTTCAGACAAGTTCTCTCATTTGATATTAATGATGACGTTTAGTTCAGTTCAGCAGCAGTATTTGTATAATTCAACAGTTTCTGAATGGAGTTCTGTTGCACACGGTCACTATCGGGTAAAGACGCTGTTAGCCGCGGAATGATCTGTTAGAAGTTAGATTTTAATGAGTGAAGATAATGCATTAAGAAAGCAGACCTCCGGTGAGACCCTTCAAAGTAAAAGTATTTTTTATTGGGCACACAGGACTGAGTGAGACGTAAAGAGAGAATCTTCAGAGGTGAAGAGGAACAGTGATGAGTCTCTTCTTCTTCTTCTTCTTCTTCTTCTTCAGATGAGGAGTGTTCTTCTTCTACAGTGCCGTCAACTCCACGCAGAACCACAACTAAGACTGGACCCCCACAGGACAAATGTGAGACCTGCACTGTCTGGTTCTCACTTTGGACCTCCAGCTACTGGATCCTGGACTCATTCGTGATCTTTATTATCTATTGATGAGAATCTTTGTTGACAGATGATTCAGGTATTTATATTTATTTATTGATGTGAGGATGAATAAATGTTGATCTTGTTTAAATCTACAGAATAGTTCTGATGTTCTAAGAGAAGAGCCTTACAGAGAACATCAGCACGGTTCACAGATAAAGTTCTCTCGATCGTTTCCATGATTTCCGTGTTTTCATGACGTCGGAGCAAGTCGGGCACAAATCTAACCGGCATGCATTGTGCGCCGATTGCCAGTGATCGATTCTGCACAGGCCTGGCTTATCTAAAACTGAGACTGAGAGACACAAACAGATCCAGCCGTGAGCAGAAACACTCTAAATATTTGAATGAGTTAAACTGTGATGCTAGTGACCATGTTGTAACATAATACATTAATTTAAAATGTATGCTGTGTCTTACGGCACGATTTATAATCGACTCGTACAGCACCCAGTGAGCACCAACCGGGATTTACACGTTGAAAGTCGGTTGATGTTTGGTCTGAATGTCTTTTTAACCGGAAAAAATGCAGTTACAGCATCAACGTATCACAAAACGCCACTTAGTTTTAAAATATTGATGGTTTGTTCAGTTGTAGATGATGTTGGTTACTGTGAATGTGTATATATCTATATAGATATAGATTTATACAAAGTCATATTACACTGGTGAAAGAAATGTGGTCTACATGAAGACGTGATTTAAACACATTTAATGTTTCATATAAAACGTGATGAATATGGATTTATAGACTGTGTGCTGCCAACAAGAAGCTCCAGAACATCGTAATGAGGGCATGTTACATTGTGTACGTTAATGTTGCATAGTAGGGGGCCGTGTGTTTCATACCTGGGCCTTCAGTGCTGTCCTACTACAGTTGAGCCACCTCCTAATAACCTCATTATGACACCACAGCTACGGTTATTAGGGGTGTAACAATACACGCATTCATATTGAACCGTTCGGTACGAAGCACACGGTTCGGTACGCATTACGAATCAAACAATATGTTTGAATAATGCTAGTGCATTTGGAAAATACAGAAGCTTAAATTGTGGGAAACATAATGTTCTCTCGGTGGAGCCACTGCTCTCAACCTGACAACCCACCCAACGTAACAGACAACGTGCTGTCTGACACGCCCACCACGGAAAAACATTGTACTCTGGTGAGACATGTGTGTTCTGGATGCACGCTAAACTAGCTTAGCAGGAAAACCAACAGCAGCACACACGCTACAAACTCTCCCCGCAGCGTTTAGCTGTTCTCTACTGATTCAAACAGGGCTAAAGCAATCGCTACACAATCCCCATTTCTCCAGACCATAATTCTTGCTTTGTTAAAGAAAACAAAAGCCTAAACAGAGAATCGCATGTCAGAACCCTAACCCCTACAGGTTATTTGTTTTGTGTAAAAATGAAGCTCAACACCTACAAATACACTAACTGCAGAGTGCAGATATATGAATACACGCATGACGGGATGCTTCGTCATTAACGGACAATACATGTAGTCAGAATCAATGTAATTAACACAATGACGAGAACAAACTCACAAGAACCAGTCACATATATTTATATAACAATAAAGCAACAAATCAATTCAGCAACTCTGGCGCTAAAACACGTATTCCACCGCACACGAAAGAGCACCATTCAAATATTATTCACATCAGAGGGAACAATATCAACCATATCATAAAAACGACACCATAGACAAATGAACACAGTAGTAACGCTACTGCAGATGTAAAACAAACGTTCTTCTTTGTCCTGTACGTGGAAACACTTGATGTGTTACTATGACTACGTATTTAAATACTACATATTTTACTGAGAGCATTATGCAGTCTAAGATGTTTTAAAGTGATTAAATGTTCATGTTTAGACCAGATTTCACTCGGATTTACAATTTACAACATTTTCCACAGAGACATTAGACGTGGTTTCTTAGTTAGCCTCTAAAATGATGACGTACTATTTTCAGCACAGTGTATTTGATGAACAAATGCAATAGTGCAAATCTGGTATGAATATGAACGTTTAATAGTCTTCAAATAGTCGGTGAAAAACGTCAGTTATTGTGTACAGCAGTAATGACTGTTATAATTATACATTGTCTTATTTCCAACTGTGTGGCTGTGATTATTATTATTATGATCTCCTAATCAGAATACTACATTATTATATATTACTACGACATGTGATATCACTGGGCTCATCGGGTCTTCCTACTGTCTCTCTTTCATGAACAGATGGACTACATACCAAAACTGAGGGTTGGCTCCACGCCAAATGATCTGATCCTGAAAGCTTCTCCCGAGGCGGATGCCTTCAGCCATCAGCAGGAGGGAGTCCGATCCCACCGGCCGAAGAACCCTGCATCCACAATGCAGGGCGCCAGGGACCGGGTCAGTGCTGGTGGAGGGGACTGCAGCGACACCAAACTGGTTCTCAGCCGGCATGAGATCCAGTTTGGAAAGTACAGCGGGCAGACCTTCCACTGGCTGCTCAGCAACGATGTGGGCTACCTGATTATGATCCTGGCGGCTCATCATCAGGAGCGTGAGTCGGGGGACCTCGACACCAGCCCCATCAAGCAGAACCAGGATGCTCTGTCCCGGTACGCCAGGCTGTTCCCCTGTGTGACGTCTGCTGTCCAGCAGAGCAGGGTGTCTGACGGCTCCTCCTCTGAGGGAGCGCTGGACAGCAGGCGGGTGGGATTCGGGGAGCATGCTGGACTCTTGTACCGGGAGTTCTACGAGTCTACAGATCCTGTAGTGCAGAGGTAAGTCACAGAGCCTGAAAACAGGAAACACTGTGAGGTGTTTCCTGTTCATCTAATGTGGCTTCATCCCTCCACAGCTACAGGATGTGGCTCAGGAGAGCCCGCGTGCAGTCCACGGGCTCAAGCATGGACCACCTGAAGAGGTACGTGATGGGCAGGGACCAGAAGGGTAAAGCAGCCTCCTCACCTTCTGCTCCACCAACCTCCTCCTCATCTTCCTTGGGGCCGTCCATTTCTTCAGGTGATGACAGCAGAATCACGTTTCATGTAACAAGCTCAAAACAATGTGACCCGGTTTTTAATTTCCTGTTCACCTGTCTAACAGGATACAGTAAGAAGCATGAGAGTAAAGGAGTTGTTTTTCTTTTTACCATCATGCCTGTAGCTCCTGGTGGACCAGTGGTCCCTGCTCCAGCGGTCCCTGCAACAGCATCTGGCCCTCTCCCAGCTGATGTCAGTCCTCTGATTCAAATCTAAACACAAATATTGCAGATGTGATACTGCAAGTTGTAATCTTTTTGCCAATGGTTGTTTTTATATTTATCTGTGTGTTCCAGGTTCCTCTCCCAGAGAGCTGGAGGAGCACGCTGCCCAGTGTGCAGCATGGGTGGGTGAGCCGGGCTCTGTTCACCAGGGACCAGAGTGGGAAGCTCATCCTCAACACTGAACTGCAGTCCTGGAACTATCCTCCTGGACCCCGCCAGCTGTACTTCCAGCCACCGGCCTCCTTCGACGCCTTCTTCCAGCGGCCGTTCTTCCTGTGGGTGCCCTACAGGATGTGGCAGTGCACCATCAGCTGCCCCGTCTGTGCCCACAGGATGACCGGATGTGGCCTGTACAAGACCGTTCGCAAGGTCTTGGACAGCGACGGATGGTATTTTATGGGCACGGAGTATCTCGATTGTCGCCACTGTGGGAAGAAGTTGGCATCGTGGTCGAGGAGCATTCTGTCCCAGCTGGATGAGGAGTACAGGAGGATGTTCCCAGCAGTGCTCACCTACAGGTACATCAAAGACTAACTTTGAAGGAGACTTCGAACTCTGGGGTGAGGAGGGAGGAGCCTGAGAGTTTAACTGACCAGTTCTTTGTCATTATCTTTCTGTCCACTATCTCATTGTATCTGCTCTGCAGGCTGTCGTGTGATAAGAGGGTCCTGGTGCAGATGAGGGGATGGTCGCTCGGCAACAGTGCCGACCGTCTGCGCTCCTGCCTGGTGGAGCAGCACACGGCGGCCTGGATGAACAGTTGCATCCGCTTCATGTCAACTTACAGGAAGTCCACGATGCCGGGTGTGACTGTTCCTCCTCCTCCAGACCTGCCAGAGATGGACCTGGTCCCCACCAGGCAGTGGATCCTCTCCGCCTTTGCCACCGACAGCTTCGCCCGTCTGGAGGAGATGAGAGCCAAGGTGACCTCCGTCTTTGGCTCCGTCCTAAAAATGGACTCCACCAAGAAGGTAGAATGTTTAGACATTATGTTGTATTTAGCTTTCACGTGGTCTTATATGTTTCTATTTTAGAATAGATTCCCGGTTTCCCCACAGGGATCAATACAGTAATTGTGATTCTGATTGTGTAGATCACCAGGAAGCTGTCCGGTCACGCTGCGGGGACGATCCAGTGGGTGACCAATGTGGGCAACGAGCACGGGCAGATGCTCATGTCGGTCCTCACTGCGGCTGAGGGCTATGGGCTGCAGCAGATGACCTCCGGGCTGGTCAGGCGGTACCAGCAGGCTAAGGAAGAGCCACCTCTGGTCCTCTACGTGGACAGGGACTGCTGCTCAATCACTGGGGGTTCAGCAGCTGCCGCTCTGTTCCCAGAGTGGACCCAGCTAGTGGTCAGGCTGGACATAGGGCATTTTATGAGGAGATTGGTGGCGATGGTCACCACCAAAAGCCACCCCCTCTATGCCCACTTCATGCAACGCCTCTCCGCCTCCATCTTCGCCTGGGACCAGGAGGACATCGCCCTGCTGAAGACAGCCAAGGAGGCAGAGGGGCCCGGGGCTTGGAGCAGGGTCTCCTTCAAGGAGATGGCTCGGCACTGTCGCCGCCACACGCGTGGGGCACAGGAGACCGAGCGTCTCATTGAAGAGACCCTGGACCACTTCAAGTCGGCCAGAGATGGCATGGCTATCCTGCTGGACCAGGAGAGGGTGGAGGGCATCTGGAGCACCCAGCGCCGCCACCTCCAGTGCATCCAGGATCCACCGGGGCTGCAGCTGTACACCAGGACGGGCCAGCTGACCAGGGGAGGGGTCAGTCTGCCGGTGTACCGCTGTTCCCGTGGCTCCACCTCCTTGGAGTCTTTCCATCTCCACCTTAACAGGTTCATCCCTGGTAAGTGTCTGAAGCCTGAACACACAAGTTAATCTTCACTGCGAGTCCGTTGCTTCTTGCCTCACTCCTCTCTGTGTAATGTTCCAGGCACCAGTGCCAGTGCCGTGAACTTCCAGCTCTACTTGCTGGAGGGCCTGACGAGGTGGAACGAGGACCACAGGCGTGCCTCGGTGGAGAGGGGGCACAGCCAGGACTTAGACACCATCAACCAGCTGGCCCAAAGCCTGTACGGGAGGAGGCTGGTTGACAGCTGCACCCGGATATGGGAGTACACAGGTAACTGCTGAGGGAGGGAGAGAAACTCAGAAATCTGCCGTATGTTTGACTGTGTTCATAATGTGGTTTTATTATTATGTGCTGTGCTGCCACAGGGGAGTTGATAGGGGTCAACTACCTGTTCTCCCAGACCGGACGGGTGCTGCAGGAGCTGCCAGACGACCCCGACGTCCCAGAGGGAGAGGCAGAGGAGGAGGAGGACAACGACAACGACTTCGTGGAGCAGGAGGAAGGGGTTGATGAGGGCTTTCAGGAATTCCTGTTTGATACAGAGTTCCTGTCAGACACCTCAAGGCCCCGGCAGCCTGCCAAGTCCGAGCCAACCAACCTCCAGGACACCGCCGAGCAGGTACGTGATCATTTCACCTTTTTACATCAGCTCCGTCTCCTCCCTTCTCAAAGCCACATGACGAACGAATGACTGTTTTCATCTCCCCTCTGTAGGAGTGTGTGGACCCTGATGGCTCCCCGGGGTACCAGCATGTCCTGAACCTGGCCGAGTATCTGGTGGAGCTGCGGGTGGCGGGCCGAGTCACAGTGGTGCGTGAGGCGCAGATCTTGGCCTTGTGGGAGAAACTCCGAGAGGGAGACAAGGGCCCTGTTAACTATTCCCCACGTTACAGGGACCAGCTCACCCAGGGGAGGTTCAGCGGCCCCTTCACGAGGCCTGACGCCAACAAGCTGGTGGAGGCTATCTGCATCCTGCTGTGTAGGATACATCATCAGAGCCGCTCTCTGGCAGGAGCTCGGATCAGCCGCTGGTCTCTGATCCTCAGGAGCTACTGCACCATCAGAGATGGCGTGCTGGGAAATCCAACCCTCCGAGCCAAGCTGTGTCTCTTTGAGATAAACCAGAGGATGCTCATACAGTGGTGAGTATCCAAACTAAACTTCACAGCGCTGGTATAAAGTACAGTTATGTCTTCAAGGTGCTTACATTTTACTCTTAATAAACCCTCTATGAACTCCAGGTTCAACTGGAGGAAGGAGAGCCAGGAGGGTTATGTCCTCCAGGCCCATGTGCCACCAGACCCCGTGCCGCCCCCGAGAGAGAGGCCTCCCCTGGACCAGCCCCTACCAGGTGTCTCCAACCAGCCGGGCCCCTCCCAGGCCCCAGACCTACCAGCTGCTGCTGGTCCCACCACTGAGGCTGAACCTGCCAATGCTGCTCCTTCACCTCCTCAGTTGCCAAAGACAACGTTGTGGAAGCGGAAAAAGCTTGAAAAGAAGAGGCAGGAGGCAGAGAGACGGGGTCAGGACTTCAAAATAAAGGCGCCCTTCGCCTGCGTCTGCAGCCTCTGTCGTCAGCCAAAGACCAAACACTTTGGTCACAGCCGCTTCTTCAACAAGAAGTCCAGAACCATGTTCCACTTCTGTCAAAACTCCTCAGGGGGCAGAAGTGTGGAGGACTGGCTGAGGGAGAAGAGACGGGAGGAGGGGGATGGGGGAGGAAATTCATACAAAATTCAAAATGGCCGACTTCAGGTTGGGTTTAGAGCATAGCCTCAAGAGACTACATGTGATACACGTGGTTACCAACATTTATACATCTAGACCAGGGTTATGCAATTAATGTTCAACAAGGTCCATTTAGAGAGAATTTCCTCATCAAAGCTCCAGAACATCACAGTAATGTCTAACCTGTTCTATGATTTAGTTCCATATTGAAGTAGCCAACAGTTGTATTGACGTCTGTATGTGGTCAACAACTGGCTGACATTTCAAATATATAATGTGTGTGTGAATCTCACTCGAGTCGGGAAGTTTATCAGAATACACACATTTGATTGGCTGAGCAGCATCACGTGATGTCATTAACAACGCATGTAATTGGTCGGTGTGTTTCCTGGACCCCTGAAAGAGTACCGTAAAGGCTGGAAAAGCTCTCCGTCAACAACCTAATAGTTCTCAATCATCTATCAGGCCCTGGTTTAGGGCAGACCTCCAAAAGGGTTTTTTGTACGTCCCATCATGTTTCATACAGCGAGCTGAAGTGCAGCGTTGGGGACATCCAGTCATGAACGTCCAGTTCTGCAGTTGTTTAACACTAGTTGACGTTTCTATCTTTCAGAAGATGATGATGATGATGATGATGTCATCAGACGAGTGTCTGTAGTTCAATGTCTCCTCTGAGCTGAAGAAATATGAAGTGAAGTTTGAGTTGGTTCATATCTTTAACAATATAAATGTGTTTATAGTTATCTTCAGGAGTACAAATAAAGATGCTGGTTTAGAGAATATAGAAGTTTAAACTAACTTTCGACTACAGATGAAAAATCGCCTCTTGGTTAACTGGCGCATTTACAGAAATGTTTTTATTTATGTGCACTGTCCCTTATCAAATAAACCAGTAAAATAAATAAACGTACCTCGGTGGAGAGGGGGCACAGCCAGGACTTGGACACCATCAACCAGTACACAGGTAACTGCTGAGGGAGGGAGAGAAACTCAGAAATCTGCCATATGTTTGACTGTGTTCATAACGTGGTTTTATTATGTGCTGTGCTGCCACAGGGGAGTTGATGGGGGGTCAACTACCTGTTCTCCCAGGAGCTGCCAGACGATCCCGACGTCCCAGAGGGAGAGGCAGAGGAGGACAACGACAACGACTTCATGGAGCAGGAGGAAGGGGTTGATGAGGGCTTTCAGGAATTCCTGTTTGATACAGAGTTCCTGTCATCCCCAGAGCCGCACACTGGGAAGAGCTTGAAACCTCTGAAGAGCTTGAAACCTCAGACCTTTTAAGGTCTGAGCATTATTTAATATTGTGGTTTAGTAACATTAGAGAAGAAACAGGACCAAACTAAGAGGTTTTTAATAATATCAGTTAAATAAAAGGAGTGTTATCTGATGAGCTGACGTTAGTTGATGAAGTTAATGGTACAGTACTGGAGTAATGCATTACTGCAATGACACGGCATTCATTCATATGGTGTGTGTGTGACATCTTTTCTTGTTCGTGCTCAGAACATCTGTTTGACTTTTGGATAAATGTCGCCGCTTCAGTGACACACTGATGTGTTAAAATAAATGTATTTTTATATAAATGTATTTATATAATTGATCAGCACCACTGGTCTAAATATAAAGTTCCGGTTAAATCAGAGCTGTGAGGTTTGTGACTGTTAATCTGAAATCAAATTAAAGAATGACGGTATCAATATCTTTTGAAATCAGAATCATCTTCTTGATCAGCTTTTAACTGCTTCATATTACTGTAACTTACATTTAAATCCATGAATCATGGTTATACCTTTGCCGTTATCCTGTCTATTACTATCACTGCTACCATGAATACTATTATTATCATTATAGGGGTTTGTGGGGAGTTCTTCCTGTACCGATGTGAGGGTCAAAGGACAGGATGTCACGTGTACAAATTGTAAATCCCTCTTGAGGTGATTTTGGGCTATAGAAATAAATTAAAAGTTTGTTTTCTTCCGTAAAACCTGATTTGACGGACTGGTCCAGCTCTGTGTCGTCCCAGTACCCTTATAAAGGGGCGCTGGCCTTGTGGTCTTGATCCCTCAACCCTGACAGTTCCCATTGATAATAAATATTATTTAGGAATAAAATTATGGCGGCAGAGGAGTTTTTTGATAGAAAGAAAAAAAATAAATATGTAAACCACTAAGAAAAATGCGAATTAAAAAAGGAGGAAAAAATGTGATTACAGTACAGTCATTTAGCAGACGCTTTTATCCAAAGCGACTTACAATTCAGATTCCACCGTATGCACAGCTACTGGAGCAAGTTTGGGGTTAAGTGTCTTGCTCAAGGGCACACCGATCCTATGATTGAAGGACGGCCCTGCTATCCACTTAGCCACAGTCACCCCGACTAATTGAAGGGGTCCCCACAAAAAGAAGAAAAAAAGGAAGATATACAAAAAAGATAAAATAGTCAAACCCTAATAAATACATTGGTTAATGGGAGGATGTGAGCTTGTCAGTGTTGGGGATTTATTAATTAATAATGACAATAATTCTGTTAGAACAAATGATCAATTCTACGTTTCTGAAATGGAACGTGTTATAAACCTCTAACACGTTATAGCATAACTTAATGAGCGTTAATTAAAGTGAGACCACTGTATAAGGTTATGAAGAAAATAAATAAAAGTACTTGATGTCAAATATAATAATTAAATAAATGCTGATGTTGATTTAACAACTCATAAGAAAAGAGATAAAAAGAAGAGGCAGATTTTAAGGAGCTCGTTGTAACTTCCATGTGTTCCCAAAACACACGTGCCTCACCAGAGTGCAGTGTTGTGTTTCCGGGGTCAGAGTGTCTCTTACGCTGGGTGGGTTGCCAGGTTGAGCAAAGTCCACCGAAAACATTATATTTCCCACAATTTAAGCTTCTGAATTTTCCAAATGCACTAGTATTATTCAAACGTATTGTTCGGTTCGTAAGCCTCGTACCGAACGGTTTAATACGAATGAGTGTATTGTTACACCCCTAGAAACAAATAATAAGGGTAGCTGTGGCGTCATCATGAGATTATTAGGAGGAGGTTCAACTGTAGTCGGACAGCACTGAAGGCCCAGGTATAAAATGCACGGCCCGCCACTGGAAATGTGTGATTGCTTTTGTTAAGCATTAGACTGCCTAAATACTGCAGTATGCATTCCCTGCACACAACGCCTCCAGATTTGACAATTATATACTGTTGGAATACTTTGTCAAACAAGGGATCACGCTGCAGGTGATAATGAGAGAAAGTAGGGTTCTTCTGATTTATGACAAAGCAATCCCGACAGCGTTGGATTTCTACCCATAAGCGTGTCAAAAACACCTGCTGCCTTAGGCTTTGAAGATATGTGTAGCAGGTGTGCTGAAGACTACCAGACTGACTGTCCATACAGAGACAGAGAGAGAGAGAGAGTCAGGTGTCGTTTGAGCTTCAGAAGCACATTCAAAAGGGGTATCAGATTGTGTCCATTGATGAAGTGGCATTTTCCCAACAAGACAGAATCATTGTTTAGGGATTATGTCAAAACATTTCTGAAATTTAAGCAAGAGGCTTCAGGCTTCCCCGGACATGTCATGACACCAGCAGAGCAGGAGAAATATGTCAATGACTATTTTGAAAATGAAGGCAGTTTTTAAAAAGTCCAGGATGTGTACAATAAGCGCATTATACAGATTATACAACACGATCCTATGGATACTTGAACTCATGGATTTGATGCCAGACTTTTAGACTTTTACAACATACTTTTAGTTTGGTGGTGAGCAGACCATCAAACTGTGGAAAGACATTTTTTGTCAAGGATATTATTGAAAATGCAGCGAAGGTTATTTCACCATTTTGATAATGTCGTTTACATTTACTCCTGCTGGCATCCTTCATATAATCACCAGCAGCCCCACCTATCTGTCTCCGATTATAAAGCAGAGACATCCTGATTATTTAAGACTCAGAGTAGCTTTGCTATCAAAGCACCAGTTGTGTATATTCCTAGAAAGCAGAAGGGGTAACAATGCCATCACGCATGCAGAAGAATTTGGCTCTGCTGGAGTTGATATTTAAAACGTTGCCGAGCACGAGAGGAGTCATTGTGAGTGATGCAAACGCTGACTTCATTAATGTGAGAGATGGCTTAATGTGTTGAGAGGCAATATTCCTTTGACTGAAAAACAGTTCTTAAAGAAAGACTCTTATCAGACCGGTTGCTGATAAAAAGTCAATCTTTCAAAGAAGACTATAAATCAGATGATTTCTATTACCACTAGTAGACATGGCCCTGCCTTTTATATAGTTAGTCTTATAAATAGTGGCAAGTGAAATGGAGCACACGGAAAAACGTGTTTTGGTACTGTGGGGGGGAAATGTTAATGGTCAAATAAAAATTACTGGAATCTTAAATGATTCTTAATTACATATTAAGCTAAAAGGCCTTACTAAAAACTCTAAAACTAATTATAATCCAATATCCTAAAATGTCTTATCCAACATAAACTAGCAAAATGGTGGGCTTTTAGTAGAGGCCACTGGTGGGAAGGCAGACTGAGGAGTGCTACCTGTAACTCACCTCAGGTGCAACACAGCAATCCTCACAACAGAGCTGGTGCAGTCTACTCTTATCCCAGGGTGTGTACATGCATAAGGTAGGGACCTCACCACAGGTACCTAGCCTCCCAACAACGGCACTCTACTTCACCTAAAGAAAAAGGGACTTCACAAAAAGAATCAAGACAAATAAAAAACAGTTTGTTGAACAATGTAAATGAATCAAAACGTTAAGGCAAAACAGCAGCAGGTGAACCTACAAATGAAAAACCTGGATTAACAGGGCTCACCATGCTGCAAAATAATACTAATGAAGGTTGTGACTACTTACCAACTCATACAGTATATGCGGTACCAACATATGCAGTCGCTCATCGACGGCAGGAAGATGATGGAGCTTCTAAAATGATTTTCAGCCAACATGTCAGTACAGAGTTAATAAAAGCGGCTGTATTTCATAATGGTTGGCATGCTAACCGATCACAATAAATACATACCTGTCATACGAAAAACCGCTAGGAGCCACCACAGAGACAGGATAAAAGGAATGAAGCCATGCCAACAGGTGCCTTTCCTAAGCTGGCATTGATTTGGGAATTGGTTGGGGGAGGAGCCAGTATTCACAGCACTACACCCTCTGCTTCATTCTGTGGGGAGCATTCCCCACCACAGTACCAACTGGATTAGGTAAAGCAGCAGGACCAGAACACTGGCTCTATAAGGCAAGCGGTGCAGAATGAACTGCATTGAGTCTTGATTGATGTATTGAAACTACCCGATACAGAAATGTATGAGAAGGACAAAAAATATGCAGATATTTTACAAAGATACTTTTCAATGGGGAGCCAGGGGCCCAGTCCCAGTGTCCCCCCTAAACCCTCAAACCCTGAACCCTCAAGGACTTACTGACGTCACCTGGTTAGTGGGTGAGTGTGAGAGACTGTGAGGGCTTGAGATGGTGTAAATATGAACGGGACAGCACTTTGCTGCAACATATCACGTTACCATGAAAATGACAAAAGATATGACGTATAACTGTGTGTATATATTTTATACGTTGTATTCCCTGGTTTGAACGTCTTCAGGCTCTTTCCTCACACGATGAGGTCATTCATATAATATATTTACTCGTTTTTGTCAAAACAGCTTCAATGACAAAATCAAATGTTTGATGAATAAATGAATAAATATTCTCTGATTTTATGTGTTTTTATCTTCCATCTTTAACCCTTAATGTTTCTGAGTACATTTAATATTCCAGCCGTCCTCTTTGTTTACCTTTTTTTTTACGTCTCCATGCGTCCACTGGTTACCGTGTTTAACGTCACATTGCAATGATTTGTGGGTAATTCCCTTAGGCTAAGTTAGCATCCTATGCTGACTTACGGAAAGGGTTCATAAAGGGCTCAAAATATCTGCCAGAGACTCAAACACCCAATGATCTGACAGTGGGACATAGTCTGTGAGTCCGTAAGGGGAGAGATTGGGATTGGTCCCCTGTCTCCACATGTGTGTGTGTGTGTGTGTGTGTTTGTGTCTGTCTGTTGCTGTGTGTGGTTCATGTGGCACTATTTGCATTGTATTTGGTTACACCCTGCATTGTGCTGTTTCCTTTTCATGGTGCCATTGTGTTGTCTACTGTTCTGCTGACAATGCAGCAGCAATTAATCTTCCCATTAAAAGCTCAGAGTAAATGTTTCTCAAACAAGGAATATATAGTGACGTAAATCACGAATAACTGTATACACAACACAGTTGTTTAGCATTGTGATTAATGCTGATAAGCAACTGAACTGTTAAAAGAGTTGGGAACAAAATTGTCACTAGTGTTACCTGCCCAGTTCTGTGGTACCATTCAAGCAGTAGCTGTAATGAGACAATAACTTCCAAGCAGGTATGTGTTTGTATGCCAGCGTCACACATCCCTGTGTAACCCTGACAAATGCATCACCATCAAATATTTACATTCTTCAAAGCAGGATGCACCTTTTCACGTCACCTATTATTTTATAGTCAGTGGATATGGTGAATGACTAATAACTGGGTTCAGTTTCGTTCATACACTATGACTCATGAAAAGAACAGAAGTCTCACATCCGTCACAGAGCTAATCAATTAAGCAGTCAGTCGTTAGCGTAAGGTTGGGTGTAAATGAAGGTTAGGATTAGGCAAACAGATATAAGGAGGGTTAGGGTTCAGGGAATGAATGTCCTGATGGAAACAACTATGGAGCTGTTTTTCATATCTTTATTCATTAACGTGTTCTTTCAATTTGAGACCATGACTTTTTATGATACTTCATATTTTGTAAAAGATTTAAATTTATAAATTCTATTTTCACTGAGGTAAGTATTCAAGTAATCTACATCAATTTAGTATTTTTAATTGGAAGATGAAGTCTCCTGTTTCCAACCAAGTGCTTCAAACTAATTTCTTTAAATGAATACTATTTAAAATATATAACCAAAGAAAGGCCTAAACTAGCTAATTAACCTGCTAATTGTAATTAGCATGACTTAGTATACAACCACCTTAAGTAGCTAGCTCACTGCTTAGGGTTTAGTTAATGACACGCAAAGCACTCTTCCTCTTCTGTCAGTAACTTCATAAGAGCCATTAAATAACCTAAAGAAATATCGTTTTACTAGCCGCTATCTTATGCAATTAGCACTCAGGTTAACTCACTGTGCACCTCATGCTGCACACAGCAGGAAAACCATCAAGTTTTAGCTCAACATTGAAATTTCCAAACACATTAGACTCATTTTTTGCTTTGCACCCAATTCAACACGAGAGTAGAGTCTCTCAATAACTGTGCTTTATGTGTCATATTAATGTGTTAGCTATTGAAAATAAATGTTTTTGAAAGTTTTTTGTATGTTGTTCCGCAAAAATATTTTAATATGAATGTGTGCACCAAGTTTGATTTTGAAAAGTGTTCATTGATCTTCGAATGCAGTGCTTCATTTTTGCAAAATGTATGAGGTGTTTTGCACTTTGGGTGTGTAGTTTTGTGAAATGTGTTAAAGAGTTTTAAAACAAGTAGCCCCTCTTTTAAAATGTGTATTAACAATTGCAAAAAATTGTAGCTATACAAACGTATATAGGATAGCTACAGATATCGCTATCCCTATCCTCTGTATCTGGCCACATGTTCTCATCCTCATCACACCTTATGTCCTCTCATTACGCCCGGGAAATAATCCTTCTGCATGCCTGATCCATCAGTGGCAGTCTTCTGCAGATATGTCCAGATATCCAGTGTTCATTGTGTCCAAGAAGGGCATCTGGTTATGTGTCTGGTAGTCATAAACTGCCCACTTCCATAAGGAAACTAAATTCTCTTCGGGGTTGAGAAATGAAGAGTAAGGTGGAGGGAAGAGTGACGCCATTGTGGGATGAGCTGTAAACCACTGTGTGACTGGAAGAGATGGTGAAACGCCACGATGTCGTATATAATTACAGAATGTTCTGGATTCTGCCTCACTTGGTCCCCGTTCCTCACCTGGTAAAAGTCTTTCATATACAGAACCAGTAAAAGGTTCCAAAACACCTCCTCATTCACTGTTCTTTCTTTATTTTTTACTATTTTCTATTGTTGCCTTTTTTTATTGCTAACACACTCAAATTAAACAGTTACTAAAACTGACTCTCAAGTCTCCAAAACTATAAAGACATTTTCTGCTTTTCTCTACATGAGACACAGGGTTTTGACATAAAGTAAGGTGTTTGCCATTTCAAAATGCTGTCTTTCAAAATGCCCCACCTTTGGAAAAATTGGCCAAATGCACGGTTCCACCCGCCCAAATGCCTGGCCGTGATTCTTGACGCATCAATTAGGATGTAAGCACGATAAAGAAGACCACATGTGAGTGGTTGCTTATAACAGCAATGGATGTCAACATAGCAGCCATAGTTTTCAAAAACGTGTTTTTGCAATTGAAAATAACTGTAATTCATCTTTTTTGTCTCAACAACTGTTTTTGAGTGTTAATTTGCTTCATTCTACAGTATTTAATAAGTTCTGTTCTGATTTTCCGTGGAAAATGCAACCTTTGGAAATGCGTTGGCGTGTTGACTCATTTTAACAATGTGGAGCCAAATAAATACTTGTAGTATTTGTCTTCACAGTATTTGTCTCTGTGTATTGTGTTTGGTCAACATATTAATATACTTTAGTCTAACAATATCTCTGAAACAAATCTAACGCAGACAATATCATTAGAGAAGTAGAAATGTCAAAGGTTTGTTGTTGAGCAGGAACTGGTCCAAAGTATCAGATGGTATGAACCGTGCATGTGCCATGTGGTGACTAAGTTTGGTTTGTATAAATTATTGAATCATTTTGAAAACTCATAAACCTCTCTTAGTTAAGTTTAAAGTTCTGTAGCAATAGAAACCTAGAGTCTAATCTAGCGTTACAAAAAACCTATTTGACGTTAAAGAAATGTTTAACAATGAGTCCTTGCTGGTTCAAACCAGCCTTGAATTGTAATCTATGTATTGATCTCTCTGAGTGTCTGATGCTGGATGTGTTATGTCTTGCTATGTTGTATTTATGTATATTTGGATGAAAATAATCCAACTGTCTGGAAGGTAGAAATATACAGTAAAGGGGCCAGCAATGCACAATCATCAGCATGGTACTTTAATCATATTGAGACAGATTTAATATTTCAATATATAACATACAACAAACATTTGACATGCTTAACAAATATGGTAACAATTCTGAATTTATTGTGTGAATTAATGTTCCTAAAATCATGCAGGGAAATATTAAAGAAAAACATATCAGCTATTCATCACTGGCTTGTGTTGAATAATTGTTATGCAGAGAAATGTTTTCATTATATATATTAGCATTTGTGATCTCTTTTTATAATATTTTCTCAATTGTTTACACATTTTCTAACAGAATGCTTCATATTCTCAAAACTCTTCACACAAATCCAAAAACACAAAACTCTGCTTCTTCTGCAAGATGAAACATTGCATTCTAAACAATGTTATGTCTTCTTTAAATGGTATTTTGTGTTCAACACACACACACATATGAACAGACATGTATAAAAACCAGTTGAACAATGGTGTGCTCAATGTAAAGCACTAGAACTTAGGACTTATGCCTTTTATATGTTAAATGTTACACTTACTATGTATGTACAGTATCTGTTGTAAAATATGTTTGTACAATGTTTAAACTTAAATATAGAAACACAAATATGCTGTATACATCCCAACAAGCACTGAGTTATAGACTTAGACAAAACAAAAAGCTTTCTGTTTGGCTCTGGCCAGTTCTGACATATGCGTTCAGGTTTTAGTAAATGAGTTACAGGTTGTACAAGTACAAGTATTGGTGTGTAAACAACTGAGGAAAACTGTAATTCCTTTAATATGTCAGCTTTCTGTTGAAAAACGGTGCAATAAATAACATCTGTTGATAATTGTTCATCCATGTTGATGGAGTTCGTGGTTCTTCACTGCAGTCTGGCTGGAAGGACATGACAAACATGATTCAGTTGGAGTGATGAACACTGACATTTGACATGATGAATGTTCAGGGCTGGACCAGGTCTGTTTGGGGGCCTTGGGGTTAGGGTTAGAGTCTAGCTGTGTTAAAATGAACCTTGCACTGTTCAAAGGAGCAACATTTAATCAACATTGAGTGGAATTAATTGTGAAAGGAAGAAAGTGATAAACTCAGACAATATCTTGAGTTCACTGTGTGTAAAAGCGTTGTCAGTTTAAGCAAACTATGATTTGCATTTTCCATTTGTACAACAAAAACATGTGAAACATTTTCTCGATAGCGTAGTTGCAATACAGTGTAGCGTGGCTCTATATGTCACCAGCTTTACCGTTACAATTACCATTACAATTCAGACCCTGACAGGGAGATGGTGTGGTTTTGTGTGTTTGAAATGTCTGTTTAATGAATCGTTATTTTGACGTTCTGGCTATATTTGGTTACATTCATGTCACTAGTACAGGCATAGTGAATAAATAGTAATAATTATTACTAATAAATAGCAGTATTGATTAAAATGGTAGTAATACTGACCTGAGCTATGTTTCAGATTTAAACAGAAACCTACAAGTTCACCAGAAATGACAGTTTTTTGTGTTCATGGGAGTTCTAGCAAAATCACACAATGTAACTTAAAGCCCTCAATTAGACATTACTGCTCACACTTTTATCTTCTTAAGACTGGTGAGTGAGGATGAAACATTGTTTCAATTTTCCAACTGGTCCGTGTTGCGTTCCCGAAGGCCAAACTCACACAGTCCAGAAATTGTAAACAAAAGTCATGTGGTGTAAATGTTGCTCGATATGTTGGCTCCTCGTACGTCTCAACTGTTGCTTAGACAGATGTGATGTACTTTCCTACACTGTGACAAGAGTTTGCGGATGAAGCATTAAGTTGTTAGATAATGTCATTAAAGCTGCACCAGAGTTTGAGTCTAGCGTACACATCCACCCAAACAAACCGCACCAGGCTGTAAGCGCTCCGGAGTTTGGTTCAACGCGCCCTGAGTAACATTTGTGTTGTGGACTTGTGTTTGTTGAACTGTGCACTTTAAACCCTCTCTTAGTACAATTGCATTTATGGAAAGCATGCCTTTGTTTAATAAACTCATAAATTCATAGGAAAACACACAATGCCCAGCCTCCTTGTATTGTCAGACAGCGCCTTGGTGTGAGTGTCAAACAAATGCTGGAATGACTAAGCGGTGATTAAGATCTATACTGTTGAGAGAGTGGGAGAGGTCAGAGACACTTCATTCCCTATGCATTACAACATGGCGTTAGATAACGATCAGTTACTAAACATGCAGTCCAAGTTCAACTGTATTTGTTTATTTAGCCATTTATTATATTGTTGCTGTTGATAAAACGGCTGTATCGCCAACATGTCAACTCTTCAGGACCTAGCCTTGTGTTGGGCTTGGTGACCATGCCTTAGTTATTACGCATTGAGCTTCATGAGTCCAATAGGTCAGATCATTTCCTAAAGCCATAAATAGAATGTCCCGCTTCAACTTCACTGAAAGAGTAAAAATGACCAAACATGCAGAGATAGCATTTTCATTAACATTTTCATAAACATGCCTTTAACTATGTGACTATGAAACCCATCAATTTGAAGGAATGTGGTTTTCTAATGCATGATATCCTTCAATTCAAGTTTAAAGATGTTAAAATAAATCAACATTGTGTTATAGTGTCAATCAAAATACTTCATGGAAACAGGAAATAAGCAAAGGCAAGTAGATTTGACTTTAAAGCATATATTGCAGAAATAACAAAAGCTTCTGAGCACAGGAAGTGACTCATTTATATTAAACTGTAAACTTTAAAGTTATTACTTGTGGACACTGGGTCAGAATCAAAAGGACTGTTCCCATCTGCCTGGGCAGCCTATCAATGATCTACTGGATGAAGTGTGCTACCTGTTGCTTGCTGGCTCCCATTCATCCAGATCATTTCAGGGATTTACTGTATAGAACCCTGTTCTGTTCTTCTTGGGTGTGTCCCCCTGTAGAAAAAGCATGAGAGGACAAAATGTGTTTACATGCATGTTTCATATACAAAGTGATACAAATACAAGCAATATATACACACTGCACAGGTCTTACTATACTTGCAGTACTTACAATGATGATAGGGGTAGACCCCGGTTTCTGTGTCACTGGGGTTTGAGGTGAGTATACAGGCAAAGGGCCCTGAGGCGGTTGTTTCTTTTCATTGTCATATGGATCCTCTGTAGTGTCCATTTGACTGCTTTCTGTTGTCACACAACACCATTGGACCAACTGAAACAACAGAGCATAGAAGCAGAGTTCAGAGAGTAGAAGTACAGTGAACAACCTCATCAGGAAGCTCTATCCCAATTCAATTCCTCCAACAAATGACATGACCTTCAAAAGAGTCAAAGGAGTGATGCTATGATCTATCTCAAGATACTGTACCTGGGGTCTGTACTATGAAGCGAGTTCAACATACCCAGCGTATATTTTGGTTAGTTTAACAAACCCTAACAACTGCAATCCCGCTAAACGGTCCTACGAAGCTGGTCATCAACTCTGTAAATCAACCCAGGGTTTCTCAAACTGACTGTGAGCGCATTCTTATAAAGGGGCGGCGTTAACAGCATCTGATCAATCACAAACACGGACAAGTCTGCTGTCAACAGAGCAGCACATTTTACAATTAAAGATAAAGCTATAATATCAGACAAATACGAAGAAGTTAAACACATAATTCAGACTTAAAGTAACAGAGTTGAAACTGCTGAATGCAGGAAGTGCAGCAGGCAAGAAATATCCGACTGTGTGAATGCGTGAATTAACCGATTTATATGATTTAGATGTGGAGGTCTCAAACATAACCTACTCCGGAGCAGGTTATGTAAGCATCAGATTAAAATCAACCAGATTATCAGAGAATAAAGTTGTACAAATAAACCCAACTGTCATCAAAATATGTAGTTACTGAAATATGTCACACAGAGCAGAGCAACTAAAACTGTTGAATGAAAAATGATATTGTATTAAACCTGCTTGATGACTCACCAGCATGATAAAGATGATTATGAGTAGCAACAAGATGGCAGCAGCCAATACTAAGAGGGCAATGCCCCATCCAGGTACCCAGTCACTGCTCCCATCGCTGCTGCTGCTGCTGTGTTTGTCAATCACAGTTGTTGTGTTGTTCACTGTTGGGTCACTACGGCTTCCATGATCTGTCTTGACGGTTGAAGATGTTGTTGTAGGATCTCGGGTTGTAGTAGTAGCAGATGTGAGTGCTGGAGTTGTGGGTGAAGTGGTAGTTGTAGTTCTTGTGGTAGTTGTATTTTGTGTGGTAGCTGTAGTTGTTGAAGTAGTTGTAAGTGTAATGGTAGTTGTAGACATTGTGGTTCTAGTAGTTGTGGTAGTTGCAGGTGTTGTGGTTGTTGTAGTTATAGGTGTTGTGGTCGTTGTTGTGGGTGTGGTTGTTGTAGGTGTAGTA